TTCCTGCTTGTCGATCTATGTTGAATTGTGGCATTGTCAGACATTGATGGTACGTCATTTAATGTCGTTATGTGGTATCGACGATTATATTTTCGTTAGGTCGGTGAAGAATCTAGTTCATCTAGCGAAGACGAAGACAACGCTCGTGAATCTCTACCAACCGAACTGGAAAGCCTCTCAAATCTGTTCCCTTTCACTCGGAAACACCAATCCAAATGCCACTCGCTCGAATTGCTCGAGCACCATCTTCCATCAAACTGACCGCGCATGGAATCTTGCTCAATCCTATTTCGACCATGGCGCCTTCTTCTTCAGACCTATAAAACGAGAAGAGTTTGTCAATAGCGTACTTCCGAGCGTGTATAACGTTGCGAGCCAACGTGTTCGGACGAGGATCAACTTCAACGCTGCCGCTGAATCATCGCCGCACTCAGAAAATGTCGAGAACGGGGTCAACATGGAACCAGATCATGGCAACTGCCATGCGCTCGCCATGTGTTACTTCATGTTCGCGCTGGGTGCATTGTTTGATGTCAATCTACCTCCTTATAATGCGGAGGCTGAGCGGTATTATGATCTGGGTAGGGCGGCGCTTTCGGCCAAGGCAGTGTACGATTCACCGTCGATTGAAACGGTGCAGTCAATAGGACTAATGGCCACATATCATACCTTAGCGGGCAAGAAGTACTCAAGGGACAGTGCAGGTAAGCCATTTTCCAGTTCCAGAAGGGATGCCGTTAACGCTCTTCAAAGTGGTGTCTCATGAGCCTCGCAGCGAAATTGGCACAAAGTGTACGTTAAGCCTTCTCCCGCAATAATTATTGTTTATTGATTTTTTACTTTTCCAGATTGGTTTACGTGAGTCTATTCCGAATCAGGCTTGAACGCATAATCACCGACACGAGCATATACAGATCGTGACAGCGCGAGATGGAACCTGGGGTCGCTCATGGTGGAAAAGCGGAGAAACGTATTTTGGGAGGTCACGGCTGCCGACGTTTCTCATGTACGATACTGTTTTTGAGGGTCCTCGATGATTCTATCTAACTGATTTCGCAGAGTCTTGCCCTAGGCCGTCCACCATCAATACATTTCTCTTACGTGGATTGCGAATACCCTAATGACGACGAAGCGACTCTAAACAATGACGGGAATATCGAATATGGATGTAAGTTCCGCTTTTCCTTCAAGGGCTCAAAACTTAAACTCTCGACCAGTCTGGCGGATGAAGCACGTCTTTGCCCGTGAAGTGTTCATGCCGATTATAGAGACAACGTTGACGGCCAAACCCAACAGCTATGCTGCAGTTTTGAATTTGGACCGTAAGGTTCGAGAGGCTCTCATTCCGTCAAGTTTGACAAACCCCCGTGATGCCAATCGGTCGAGCTCTGCAAGCCTAAAAGCGGCGTATGCTACGCAACACCGGACAGTTCGTAAGTGTCACGTAGTCCACATCAAGCAAGGGACTAATTTCGGGGTAGCACTACTATATCTTCATCGAAGCTTTTTCGCTCAAGCTATGCTCGATCACCCTGCCAATCCCCTACTTAGTCCATTTTCCCCATCTTTCTTAACAGCCTATAGATCTTCCTCGCTCGTCATAAAGTATACCAAGGAAAACTTTGAGCGCTGTGCGGAAATTGGGATGAGGATATGGTTCTTATTATATCATACGTTCTCCGCTGCGGTAAGTTTGATCATATCACGTTGATCGGCCATCTAATACTCTGACAGATTATCGTCGGTACTATTGTGACGCGATCACCGAGTTCCACATTTGCCCCCAGGGCCTTTTACGAACTTCAGATGGCTATAGAATTGTTTGAACAGACAGCGAAACAATCTTCCCGCGCACGTACTGCCCTGGTATGGTTTGTTTCATACATATACTACCTTCCTTAACGACCTTTCCCACAGAATGTCTTACTAAAACTAAAAGAGAAGGCAACGCGAGCTTCAAGTCAATACAATGGGGTGCCACAGCCCATGGGGACTTACTCGTTCAATCGACCAGGCGACGAGTTGGATGATGAACTGGCTATTTTTGGTGGCCAGAAACGCGTGGTATCCCGGAAGAGCAAATCGCACAAGTCATCGTCTTCTGTCAGCAGTGGTGATTCTCCCTCTTCACGCGACTCGGGTTCAACGGGTTCACCCTCGCCTACGACACGTTCTCCTCTGGATACCAAACCAGGATCGCCTTACCAGGAAGTTCATCCCATGTTACTGCAGTATTTGCAAGGGGCAACTTTCCATTCTCCCCCTCGCCAAGCTGCAACGATTCAGTGCAACAATGGGACCCAGATGCAAGTGAATGTACCACAATCGGTGCCGAAAACTGCGGAAGGCACGCCATTATACGGGACACCGAGTGATAGAAAGACCGGGGTTGGAACATCACTGAATTATGCGTCATCCGCTTCGTCAACTCCGTCCACAGGTAGCCTCTTGACTCCCGGTGGCAGTAGAAGCAATTCATTTTCAAGCGATAGCCCGATGGTCGATGGAAGCGATGCAACCGCTTGGCATGGCAAAGTAGAGCCAGTTCCCCTCCCACTTTCGGATACGCATTATTTCGATTGGCTATCTTCTACGGGGTCTTCGCCGTTCCAGAGCCCCGACCAGATGCAACGTATGGAAACATCGTTTCCAGACTCTGTCCATGCCTCTCCCCATGCAGGTGCCTTTGCTACGCCTGCAGGGATGGGTCAGCAGACGCGGTTGGGAGTTCATCTTCCTTCCTCTGTTCAAATACCTGCTAGCGCTAACACGTTCGATATATTTGGAACGCCCCATGATACAGGTTATATAAACGGATACGGGTTCAGTTCTGGAAGCCCTTCTGCGATGGTTGAGCTCGGGGTGTCGTCAGAAGGTGGCATGGACGCACGGTGGATGACGTTCGTCCACGACTGTGGTATCATGGAAAGCAGTAACGCCATGCAGCAGAGCTGCTGAGGCGGACATTAATAGATCGTGTATATGTATATGCATTTCTTCACTACTAATTTCCTCCTTTCTCGCAGGGTATATTTAACGTAAACGGAGAGTACAATATTTAACGTCTGTACTTACTGTATGAAATAAACTTTTGAAATCCGCTTAGAGCAGGATATACCTTTTTGGTGTCCACGCGGACGCTTTACCTTTGTCGAGGAGTACCATCACATTCAGCCATTGAATTGCGATTTGGGAGCAACATGTGCTAATCTAGGGTGGCACAAGTGTGGCTCGGTACCTGCAGCTGTCATAAGGTGTGAAAGCATGCCAAGGACGCCATGCCAGTGTGCCTAGGTTGTCATGATCGCCGCAGCCCAGACCCAAAAAAAAAGGTCATTCCTTCCTTGGCCCCTACGTCATGGGCACATTTGCCATTCTTGCGCGGACTGGCAAGATAAATAATATCTTCTTTTACCCATCTCCTTGTCATGATAAGCACAGCGGGGTAAATGCTTACATGACGACTGACTCCACTATTATAAGTACCGAAGTAATCGCACTCAACTGACTCCACTGTTATAAGTACCGAAGTAATCGCACTCAACTAGCACTCACTGTTATTCTTTCCAAGCGGTGGATCGTTAGTCGACGGATAAAATAAGTCCTTGAAACGGGCTGTAAATTCGCTCGACAAATGGAAATGTTACCAAATCCCCACGATCTGGCGGCGGTTAGAGCAAGCTGCGGTTCGTCTCGTCTTTCCATTTTCCGCTGCGATCTGGACCCATGAGTTGACTCAGCTGCCTCGTTCGTATTCACTATCTATGATTTCTTCCTTACACTAGATGATGAGATTGAAATCATATGGCCGTACGTCGTCATAATGCTTGACTCAATAATCACCTCATCGTGACTATAGGAAATCGAAGCGATCTTGGGTTAAATGGAAGTTCTTGTTTTTGCGGTACTTCACTATCGCCGTGCAACTGTGGGCAGATCCGCTTCAAGTTGTTGACGGGATCGATTCTGACCGCTCGCTCCAATCCCTAGTATAAACTTCGCCATCGAGCGCAGAATAACGTCCTTTAACGATAATGAATCACCAGAATTGATGGATTTGATATACAGTTTTTTGATCGCTCAAGTCGTTACTTGCTTCGTGATCTCTGCTGTGCTGGAATCAATGTTGATGATGAGAAGTTTGTCGATTTTATCGTTTAACAACGACCGAGTGGCTGACCTCATCATAGTTTATGCCCTTTATAACAAGAATCTTTATATAGCACTTGGATGTGCGCTATTATTGGTGGGCCAGTTTGCGGCTATGTCAATCTGTATCTGGCGCAAGGTCGAGATGAGAAACGCGATGAACGCGATTGAGGTGGAAGCCCCTTCGGGCTCATTCCCATATTTAGGGTGGGTGCCTCTTGTTCCTAAGAAGCCAATTACTCATAATCGAGTAAGTATTGCTACGTTGGTGTCTCAGAGTGTGATCGTTGCTCTTACCATCATCAAGCACTGTAAAGACATGAAACAGGGCACGAGGTCGTCCATAATGACTTTACTGTTGCGTGATGGCATCTTGGCTTTCCTGGCGTCCTCATGTGAGGATACTAGAATTTTTCACCGTGTTTATGACCGAGCGTAATCATGCAGTCATCACATGTATAGCAGTGGTAACTGTTATATACAGTAGCGTGTACGCTGTGATGAGTTACTTGTGGGTTTAGAGTGTTCTTCGGTATACAATGTTTGCTTACTTTTTGATAGCTGGCTTATCTCTATTTCGGCCTCTTTGGTAGGCGTTCTGCGCAATGATCTTCCGGCCGTTATCGCTGATTCGTCCAAGGGTTGTCGCATCATGATCAATTTAGAACGTTACTGGAAGCCATCTCGAACTCTCTTTGAGCCAACGATGATTCTCACAGAACTTTCGTCCGCCTTTTTTGACGAGGAATCTGACTGTACAAGCGAGTTTAATCAGAGCAGGACAAGTTGATCATCGCAAACGAGTTGCAGTATCGCGAATGATGTAAAGTTTCGGAGTTTTAAAGCCTGTCGCCCGCCTAGCTCAATCGGATAGAGCGTCAGACTCTTACGGATCAATCCGGGAAGTGTCATCTGAAGGCTGCGAGTTCGACCCTCGCGGTGGGCTACTGCGACGTACTTTTTTGCTTGCCTGAATTATGTCGTAACCTGTTCTTTATACAGTATGTCAAATTGTGAGATAAGCAGCTCACACCGCAGTGCAATAAAGCTACGTAAACTACTTTATTTTTGCTTGTATGCTACATACACGACCCGACTTTACGTATTATGTAACAAACTATACAGACACAGCGGAAGATGAAAATTGATATTGCCCGGGCAAGGCTGCCCTTGCAGGGTCAGCGCCTCCCCAAAAAGAACGGGCCTTAGACTAGCCCAGGGTCACGATCTATTGGGGATTATCCTTAGCTTGGACGCAATACTATGATCGATTCGGTGGCGTTCATAAGTAATGAGTAACGTGTTGACGTTCTTTTCGTCAGATGTCAATTTCATGCCACTTTTCACAGCGGATAGCGAAAAGCGCGTATGTCTTATCTAAATCCTGCATTTGAAACCCCCTCTTACCATGGCACCGTTGCCCTAGTTCACGAATAGCCCATGTGCGTTCAAGCCCTTCGCCTTTCCTCACCGTACTAATCATTATATGGACGGAGCTCAGGTTGCGGGCTACCTTCTAAACGTCTTCCTCCAGGGAATATTGACGGTTCAATTCTGTATGTCATCCTTAACGCGCCTAGCGGAATTGACTCGAACTCACTGATACTGTTACTATGCCTCAGTCAAATACTATATGGACCATTCGAACGATGAGCTCATTATCAAACTGACGATATATGCCCTCTGCATCCTCGAGATTACCCACACGGCTGTCACCTTATATGACGGATTCACAATGCTCGCATTACAGACTGAAGGGACTAGTGGAGTCAATCCCCTCGGAATTAGTGGCTATCTTTTACCAGCCATAAGTAAGTGCGACGTCCCATTGGATCATTGGACATTTGCACGTATTAATCCTTGTAACCTAGTTGCTTTTATTGCTCAATGTTTTTATGCGTTCCGAATACATCGTTTTTCGCAGAGGCGCTGGCCAGCAATAGCTATAGCTCTCGTAAGTCTTTCACCCATAAAACACTGACAATTAACATAAGATATGATGAGCTATCGACCATTCAGCTCGTTCTAGGCATATTGGCTGGAAGTAATGTTATTTGGCGCCGTTGGCTGGTGCCAACGAAGTCATTGGGTCAATCATGCAATTCCGCCTTACGATTGGTACGTCATCTACGAAGTAGAGTGCGGATCAATTGTCCTTAGCTCTGCAACAGGGCTGGTTTGCAGCATTTGCCTTGTGTGACATTACGATCGCAGCGACGATGGTAACGCTCGTGAGTGACGTCATTAAATGTCTCAATCTCTGCCTTAATCCCTTGTCGTAGCTTTTAAAAAGTAGAACCAGAACCAGAATGTCAGCCACTCGTCGTCTCATCAAACGGGTCATGCGCTTTTCCATCGAAACAGGAGCGATTACGAGTGCGTGTCAAATGTTTCGAGCTTATTTCACGAGGTTCATGCTATACGTAGCTGGAGCTTCTATTCTCTGTCTTGTCCTCGTGGCTGTTGGCGAGCCGTATTTTCTCACTGTCCTGCTTTCCCTACCTAAGTTATATTCCATCACTCTGCTTGTTCAGCTCAACAATCGGCCTAAGCCGCACGAGCTTCAACTCGATCTGACAGAAAATGAGATCTCGTTCTACGACAGTCGCTTTAAATGATGATACAGTTTCCAGCGACGTAGAGTACCCTTTACAGGGATGATGTCGTATCGATAACTTTCCTGTCTCCAGCGGCATTACAACTCTTGCACATATTAGATAACACGACCTGTTTAAAGGTTTTTTACATCCGTTTGCTAGCTTCCAGTGTCCCCTTAATTCGCCCCCTTGGGTATTAATTGCATAATTTCTCTGTGATCTGGACATAAGTATCAAACGGCATTACAATGACTACTGATCCGCAATATCTGTGCTCAACGACGCTTCTTCCCATTCACTTAACTTCTGTAGCGTGTTTTCGCACTCCTTTTTAACGACGGAGTAAACATCGCTTCCAAGCTCCACTTCAATTGGACGTCCTTTCCCCCTCGCGACGCCCTCGCCGCGGACTATGTCAATGATAACCTCGACGCATTTGGTCGGATCACCAGGCTGATTGTCACTGATCGCTATCGAGTAATAACGCTGAATAAGTAAAGCGACATGACCATGCTTTAAGAAATACCTTTAAAGCTTTCATCAGCTTGGGTAGCCGTCTCCACATAATCAACTATACGCGACTCATATGGCGTGTAGTGATCCGGGGTTAGAAACGGCGTGCGGAATCCTCCAAGATTGAAACAGATGCTTCTCAGACCTAAAGGCGAAATCTCTGCATGTAAAGAACGGTTTATGCCTAAACACGTAACAGTGGTATGGCGTTAATTTGCTGCAAAAAAAGAAACACCGTTTTACGTACCTCGTAAAGCCTATTTTGTCGCACAATAAAGCCCACTGGCTGGGGATCCTCTGCAAATCACCTCAGATCGCAAGTCGTCGCTGGTAGACTCGAAACAATGCACTTACATCCATCCTCCGACAGATCCCATAAAAACTATAGCTCCTTTCCTTCGCGCGCGCATATACGGCAAGAACGCCCGTGTCACGTTTAAGCATCCAAAAACATTCGTACTATTGATCCTTGCGCGTCAACCGACACGCAGATGTCTATAACTATAACTTACTTGAATTGATCCAAGGTTTCTTGAGGTCTACATAGTTCATATTCAGTTGAATCAGCGAGAGATAGGACAAAAATACGAACGTGCACTCTTCAACCGTACCAACAATGAGATAACCTGAAAATACATTGTCAGCACAGACGTACCACACATATCGTGATGACTCACCAGCGTTGTTTACCACCACATCCACCCTCCCATGGATGTCCACCGCCCGTTTCGCCACTATCTTCAACTCTTCTAGCGGTGCCGTAACATCAAGCTCGAGCACATCTGCGCCTTTCTCCTTCAACTCCCCGATTTTCTCAAATGACCGCGCACGAGCTGTTGCGATAACTTTATCACCTCGCTTTAGAGCAGCTAGAGCTAGTTCACGCCCCAGCCCTGTGCTGCACCAGAAAATGAAGGATAGGCGTGTATTAGATGTTGTTAATTGAGCTCGGGTCAAACGTACGAAGTTCCGGTGATAACCCAAACAAGCCCAGATGCCATTTATGAAAGTTGGATGGGTGGCAGCTGCAATGGATGGCAATAGACACTGCATTGCAACAAGCAACTTTTTATATAATCCCCAGTCGCACACATACGATGACGGAAATGAATGCATCAGCGCTCAGCGCTCAGCACGGATCCAACTCAAACTTCTAAATTGGTCAAGACTCAACACAAACCTTGCTTGATAATCATATCATGATCCAAGTCGGGATCATTATCGCTTTTTCATCGCAACGAGTGCTGGGATGCGGGCTGAGAGCGGAAAAGTAGGATATCCTGGTATGCTGTCTGATTTCCAGATAATTAATGAGAAGTGCGCGGTGATTGGCCATCTTTTGCAACAGAGCTTGCCTCTATTCGCAGAGTGCCTTCCGAGGAGGCTTATAACTATCCCAGATTCCCAGTCGCAAAATCAATGCAAATCAGTCGCGTCGGCTTCTTTACGCGTTCAAATCTTCTGTGAGGGTAATGCGGGTGAGGATCACATTGCCAGTACTTACGTTTGGCCAAATTCAAATTGAGGATGTCAGGGCCGAACTACTTACTAGGGACAGCTAAGTAGAGTATGGCTGTTGTTAACGTTGGCATCATATTCGTCGGCCGTCTTAGTGAATGCCGAACTGGATGCATGCCTAATGTTGAACGGGCCCTCGTCGTTCGCGGCAACCAGGTATCCGAGACTGACTGTACTTGGCCGGCGTCAATGATATGTATCAGTATGTAGCTTCTCAAACCTTGCTGCGCGCAATAGGCACGTAATATCATGATTATTTAGCCCCTTGTGGACCTTTTTGATAGCTCGTGGAATCGCCGAGTTGCCCACATGCATTATAAAACAAACGTCTCAACTCGAAAAGCATTTGATGTTCTCTCAGCGGTCCACAAGCTGCGCGACGGTTGATTTACTCGATGAACATCTCAACCACGTATTCCAGCTCACCTCTACATCCGGTGCGGACATCCAAACTGTTATCCTGCCATCTGTGAACATGATGCTTCGGCGACCGCCTGGTCCGCGACACTCCTTCCTTTGCTTTTTGCCCTGTTTTTCTTCTCCACAAAAGCATTGCGTCGAAAACCCGTGTTTATCTTCAAGGTCATTTCAATACTTCTGGGCATAGGCCTAGGAGTAATGGATATCTATTGCCTGGTAACCGGCCACGTTTTGTGATACCTATTCATGCTGACCATGGTTCAAACAGCATCGCATATCCTTTCATCCCCCGAACGCGATAGTCAATGACTTTCCCATGGCAGCTACTGTCGCTTTGGGGATGTCACCTTTGCTCGTCTTCTGCTGAGTCTAATCTGTTTTCTTGCAGGATTTTGATCCTGCGGACAGTGGCTGTCGCTTCAGTTAGTCCATTTTATAAAGGCATTTTATTCCAGTTCTAAGTCAGTTTAACAGGCTTACACTCTTCCAAACCCCAGACGCTCTTTTATATTGAAACGTCGAACTTCATTTTCCCCCTTTTCCTCAATATCGCCTTGCTCATTCATGCATTTCGGTATAGCGACCAAGTGGGGTCCTATGTCGTTTTTATGTACAGATCATTGGTGTTCTTCTCGCTACTATATGGCCTACCGGCGTTCAATGATGGACCGAGGAGAAGTTTCACTTCGACAGTTGTTCTGCCAACGATGAGTCAGTCGTCCTCCGGGGGTGCAATATCGATTAGTGAAGATTAGTGATCGCGACTCCGACTCAAGAACGACTCACGGTCCTTGGGACGAAAATTGCTTCCCAACATCTGCAAATGTTAGCCGCCATCATCATCGTCATCAATGACGTTCGCGTAGTCTCCTCGTTTTGCGGGTATAACACTCTCATT